TGTGCCACCGACGCACATGATGTATGCCACCCTAGCCTTCATTATGCTGTTGGAAATCTCATCCATCACCCCTCTGCCAGCACTCACACAACTACCCAGGTACACAAGCTTATCAACAATTTCAAGCGGTTCACCCTCAAGAGTGAGTGCAGGTACAGGCTCCTGCCAATCTTGTAACAGTACTTTGCACCTAGACGGCGTAAAGCACGTACCATACTTACAGACACTGATCTTACTTACTTTACTTTACTTCGGCTATCTCCTACGGGAGGATGAGCCGGCTTCGTGAACGTCTCGAATCATCGCTGCCCAGGCGCGGCAATTTGTAAGAGAGTTCATGAAGTTTCATGGGAATTTGGTACGAGTGATGTCCCCAGAATCGCTCGGCCTTTTGTTTGAGAGTGCAGCTCTAGCCTTTACACAACCAAGTGTGACCTACAAGGCAGTAGGAGTGGAGTAAGGAGTCCACTATCCATTGGCAGCCGATGACCGGAGTTCGGTTCATACGCCTTTTTGAATGGGGCCAGACATCCAGGACATCCAACAAGCCCTTTGTCCATACGTCTGCCGGTGAGCTCCAGTGAGCTTCATACGCCAATCGTTGGAGGTTTGGAATCAGGGTTTAGCCATCTCCCCTAGACTGTCATCCAATGGACAGTCAACCCGGTGGAGAGCGCCAGGCATCCGCTTTCGCCTTCTCACTTCGGTGAAAAACACCGCCACGTGAAGGCAGTGAGTAGGACTTCCTCAGGAGAGGCTGTGTAAGACGCCCGGTCATATGGGAGCATTTCAAGAGACAGACACTGATCGCCAACTGATTAAGTGCGATTTGGACAGCCTGCATGCTATCGCACAGTAAGACGATATCGTCTTCATACTCGAGGTCGGAAAGTCTATCTCCAGGATCGCTTTGTTTGTTATGGATCATGTTATCTCTATTCCCATTGTCACTACAGCTAACAAATCATTCAACTATGGAAATTAAGTGTTTTAGAAAGGAAGTTTAGCATTACTTTCAGAGTTCAGGCGAGAAGCATTGCTTACATTTAGTGATGTAAATGATGTTTTCCTAGCGGTGGGTGACAACTACATGTATGGAAAGACGGTTACGTTTGATGCTTATCAAAACAAACCCCCCTCCAGTAAAGTACATAAACCGAAAATGATTGCATTGCATGCATTCCTGCCGCGCACTGACTCACCTCACCCTACGAGATATATATATATATATATCCTGATTGGTACAGAAATGTAACATTTGAAGAAACACTTTTGAAATCACATGTAAAGACTGATTAGAAAGTAATTGGAATGTGATAAACATTATTTCCTATAGCATATTTCAAATCTGTCATTAAAACTTCACTTAAAGTTTTTAACAACCTTGAATCATACATTAGGATAACTGGTGAAATTTAGTAAATTTTCTGAGTTAATGAATGCATTGAGACGTGGTCCAACTGCCTTTACTATTAGTAGGTAAAGTAGCCCCTAAAGTAGATTATCTTAATTTGTGTTATAATTGTAATCGGTGGCGGGTAGAGAAAATAATGGCGATGAATACAGTGCGTGTTTACAGCTCTCTGGCAGACAATGATGACTAGATAGACACTCTTCAACTAGTTAATTCCCGATTTTTCTTCTCTTCCTTCAAAACCGGGTACATTGCGAATGAAACATTCACATAGCAGATGTGAATAGGCTTGATGTCTTTGATCATAGGTATCTGAGTTTATCTCCTATGTCAGGTGGTATAATCAGGTAAGTAATATTGAGACTAGATGCCGAGTGCTAGGTAGGGAGGGGAAATCAATCGACAAGATTATAAAGTCTCACCGATTGAGATGGTTAGGACATATGCTACATATGGATCCCTATCCATCGCCTTCCTCGACAGTCAATGGAAAACAGCTAGTGGTGGAAAATATGGCTTAATCAGTTCATGAAATCACTCGGAAGCTAATAGAGGGGGGGAGAATGTTGAAAGAGAAAATGATACAATGCAAAGACGGGCGAGAGAAAAATACGCTGAGCTCAACGTACACAGCACTAGACAAAGAAGTGAAGAAGAGTGCTAGAAAGGACAAAAGGCAATTCTACGATAACCTCGCCACTGAAGCTGAGAAGGCAGCAGACAAAAGAGACCTGAGGACATTATATCAGATAACCAAATCTCTATCCGGGAAGAGATCAACACGAGTGAAACCTATAAAAGACAGCCAAGGGAACCCAATTACCAAGGAAGAAAAACAGATCAAACAATGGGCGGATCACATCAAAGGACTCTTGAACCGACCACCACCTGCAACCTGTCCAGAAATACCAACAACAGCGCGCACACAACTGCAAGTTGACACCAATCCTCCAACGAGAGCTGAAGTCTTGAACGCAATCAAGCTTCTGACAGTTGGAAAAGCAGCTGGACCAGATGGAATACCCCCTGAAGCACTGAAAGCGGACCCAGAGACGACAGCAGACATGCTGACTCCATTATTGCAAAAGGTCTGGAAGGAGTGAAAGCTGCCTACTGACTGGGGGAGAGGTTACCTCGTGAAACTACCGAAGAGGGGCGACTTACACCTCACTCTGCAAGAACTGGCGAGGAATCATGCTTTTGTCGACGTCAAGTAAAATCTTGAGTCGCATCATCCTGGAGGCAATTAAGGACGCACTGGAGACAGAACTCCGACCAGAACAAGCTGGATTAAGGAAAGGTAAATCATTTTCTGACTGAATAGCATCAACAGCAAAATTCCATCGGATTTTCAGTACAAACGTCAAGTCAGTCAGCTTTTCTATACGGAACAGAAACTTGGCGGGTGGGTCACAAAGAATACCACGCGTCGGTGGCACAGTGGTTAGGATTCTCGCCGACCATGCACATGGTCCGGGGTTCGAGCCCACGCCGACGCACTCCTGATATCTATGGTCGGCCTGCGAATTTTGGGCTACCGATATCCACGCTGAAAATTCCACACTTGTACCAAAAATACGGTGTGGAATCAAGCTGTAATCAAAAAGAAAATAAAAAAAATAAAATTTATAACAACCTGTTGCAGACCTTAATCAACAACTGTCTTCGCTGGCTCTATATCGAAGATCAGATGGTCGGGCCGGAAAGAATCACCAACAAGAAACTGTGGCTGGGAACAAACAAAACAAGAACCAATCGCCAATCAACAAATATGCAGGAGAAAGTGGAGATGGATGTGAAACTCGTTGAGTGAGGAGGCCGCCGGTTGGTGACATTGCGCGCGCGTCAGGCCATTTCTCGAGTGGAACCAGGCCGGAAGGGAAGCACGCGGCGATTGGGACGTCAGTGCAAGGGTGACATGGAGGAGATTGTGTGAAGAGAGAGGAGTTGAAAGGGTATGGACTAACATGGATGCAGGTGAAAAGTACAGCAGAAGGAAGGAAGGAAGCAAGTGGAGACGTGGAGTTGAAGCCTTATGTTCCACTAGGAACCCAAGGGAACAACAATAATAATAATAAGTTCATGAAATCCTTGACAGTAAGTTTTTTCTGTATAAAGTCCTATTTTGAAAACAGTCGGTCAATGAGTCACTTTACGAATGGAGGGGACCATATGAAGAGGAGATGAATGATTTTTGGCGGTCGAAGAGTTACCTAAAAAAACAACAGCAGTAAACAGACTGAAATGGAGATGTGCTTTTAAAGCACTATGTGTCACATCAGATCCAAGAGACATGGAATAAAATAATAGTAATAATGCATATAACTTAAACTTGACTTGAAATATCAATATTTCCAAAGTCATAGTCATTATTATTATTCCTTGGGTTCCTAGTGTTTCTGCTCTTTGAAAAATGATCCATTTCGTATCCTTTTCACACCTCGATGCTGTAGTCCAGAGAAATTTTGAATAAAAAACAAACTATAAGATATATACATTGTCAAGAGTTCAAATGTGTTATTTCATTCATTCGTGCTTTATAGTCACTCCTCTTAACCATCTTTAGCCATATTACACTTTGTTAACAGTGATTTTTGAAAAATGTTCACATTGCATGACTTTTCACTTGCAGTTAGTTAGTTATCAGTAATATATGTATGACTCATTCATTTTTATACCAGTTAACTAAGCATTTTTAGTAGACATTTCCAACAGATCTGCGCTAGTATTTTTCTAATCAAAGAAAAATGGTTTGCTTGGTGAGTATGCTTTATTTATTTATTTATTTTAATGAAGTCTGTCTGTCTGGATTCAACATAGAACTTGGCACCGAAGTGCAGCACTTCGAGTTGCCACGTTCCAAATAGCACACAGACGTAGACAAGAAGATGAGTGAAGAGAATCAATAGAGTTTGACAGGTATAAGAGTGAAACAGAATGGGTAATGGTAGAAAGGAATATGAAAGATTACAGAGACTGAATACATCTCCGCTGGCCATTGACAACGATTTTGAGCCATGTCACCTATTGTCTCCAGCCATTGATTCCTAGAGTCCCGAGGGCCCCAACCCGGAAGTCTGCATCTCCCTACCTGACTGACTCAGTTTAACTGTCAAGGATTTGATGGATTGATGAGGCCATGTTTTTGTTTGGCCACCACTGGCTCTTTTCCAACCTGCACCCATATCAGCTAGCAATGCCCGTCGTCGGGGGAGGCGATGGTTAGGCATGCGCACCATGTGACCTAGCCATCTCAGTCTATGTAACTTTATAACCTCGTCGATTGATTTTCCCTGTTTACCCAACACTCTACGCCTAACGTCAACATTACTTACCTTGTGAAACCACCTAACGTGAGAAAGAGATCGCAGACATCTATGATCGAAAGCAGTCAACCTTTTCATGTCTTCAACTCGCATTGGCCATGTTTCAGAGCCATAGAGAAGGACGGAGCGAACTGATGAGCAGTACACACGTCCCTTGGTTAATAGCATTTTTTTTAATGTAGTCAATCTCTCAATATGTTGTTTCTGCATTATATGTTTTTTTAAACATATTTATCTACTATTTTCTCCTCACCATTCAGAAAATTGCCGCTGTACAATCTGCTTCACTGGCCCTGAAAAAGAGTTGTAAATTTAGAGCTATTTTAGAAATTGTACTGGCTTTCGGTAATTATATGAATAGTTCTCGACGTGGTATCGCCTATGGTTTTCGTTTGCAAAGTTTAGATGCTGTAAGTGTGTTGTATATAAGTTCAAAACTTATTTTTGAGGTACAATTTTGTTTATTTGTATTTTTTTTTGTCTTGCCTCTATTGTTTTGTTTGAATTTTATCCTCTTATCATTGTTACTTAGAGAATTCTTTAAGTCTTGTTTGCTGTTCCTGTAGAAGAGAATGTTAAAAAGTTGTAATTTAGCAGTCATCATATAAAATCAACTTCGAATATGAGGTTTTCAGTCGCACCCGTTGTTATTGTTGTTGTTGTTGTTGAGTCTCTAAGATAATAATGAAGGTGAAACACTTTATTGAAAGTGTAATTCCCCATTAAACCATTCATTTAATGTTAAACAATATTATCTAGTAAATAGTACTACTACAACTGTGACGTGTACTACTGACAAGATTTATGAGTAGTATATAAATGCAGATATAAATATGTGTCAGCGTTAAGAATATCAGGTAGATGGATTTTATGACCGATACTTCAGAAACAACATGGAAAACATGGTAGGAAGACAAAGAAGAACAATATGAAAGATACTTAATTGGTAGATGGTGACTAGCAGTGAAATCCAGGATGCACATTTGGTCCATTTGGGACTCAGCGGGATGTGCCTGCATTCCCTAGTGATTGATGATGTTCCCACCGAGGCTCGAACCCATTGCCCACAGTTTCAAACGCCGAAGCATTATCTACTAGACCACTTGGGCCACGAGAGCCACCTCTTGTGCAACGGGTCATATTAGTTATTTAATTACATTTTAGATTTTCCTGTCGATTGATTAGACCGAAGTGCTCATTGGGGAATGCAGGCACTTCCAGATGGCGAGTCTCAAATAGGACGAAATGCGCCTTATCCTGGATTCCACTGCTAGTCACCAACCACCAATTATATACTAATTAAATCCCCAGACATCGTCGAAGCATCTGCACAAGAAGCCGACGTGTCAACCTGAGACGGAGCACTTCGGTCCAATCAATTGACGGGAATATCTAAAATTCAATTAAGTATGAAAGATATATGTGAATTGTGATTCTACTATATGACAGACGTAATCGCGCTTATCTGTGTATTGAATTATGAATAAACGATTGCTTTACCAAATTCTGTTACTTTCTATCGTTACACTACTAATACTAATCCTAATAGTATTAGTAATAAATAATAATAATAAGTTTCATAAATTGAGTTTGACTTACATAATTATGGCTTAATTTGACTGCTCTACTTTTAATGCGTGGTGCTTAATACCAAGAGAAAATTCTATTTAATTATGTAATTACACACTAATCGATAATTATTACATTCTTTCTGTTTCTCATTTTGTTCATGTATTGTCTCGTTTTTGTTCATGCCGATCTCGATATTATCCATTTGGCTAAAATAAATCTTTAGTTTTACCATTATTAAAATGCTTTTGGTTAATAAACAGTAATGGTCTGGTTTATTTCTTTGTGTTTCTCTTTCGCCTTAAATTCAAAACCATCCGTCAAATTCTTACACACTTTCGAAGTATTGCCCGAAAACATGCGGTCAGTAGTAACCGGGATATATATCTTGGCAGTGTTTAGTTGTGAAGATAGTCCTAAGAAAGGAAGTTCTGCTAATCAAAACACCAATTATATTTATGTAATCATGCAAGGTATTATGGGTTGTTGTCATCTGTATTGTTATTAACCGTTAGCGTTCATTAAAACTACTGTTATCATTCTTGTTTCAAGAGGTGGACTACTCTAATGGAAAGGTTTTGTTGTTTATATGTGTATTCGAATGATGTAGTTCTTATCGATGAGGATTCTGATAGGAAATTCCTTATCTTCTGAACCATCTTACCGGAATTATGAATATGCGGGTTTTTCGTATCCATACTGTGATTGCATCAGTTTTCTCCTTTGTGTGTTTCCCGAGTGTCAGGTAGCTTTTACAAACAATTGTGATGCGTAGAATCTTCGTTAGATTCATTTTCTTCTGATTATCATATAGAAATTTATTTCCCTTCTTAAGAACTGAATTAGTTTACGCTAGTCCATCAAAACCATCCCACATTTATTTTTGATTGGATATTAATCAGTGACTAGTGTAATGCGTCTAGTCCTTTTGTTCAGTTCAGACTGAATTCAATCACTCAAATTTGCAATGTAGCCGCCACCTATGTCCAAAGCTTCCCGCCGATTGCCTCCAGCCATCTGATATCAGCAGTTCACAGTGCATCGTGATGGCGACCCACCTAACATATTGGCTACATTGCAGACATGACTTAATAGAATTCAGTCTGCACTAAACAAAGGCCTAGACACACACACTACACTAGTCACTGACTAGTGTCCAATAAAAGTATTTAATACAGTGCTACAGGAGGTCAGTTTCGAGTCTGAATAGCTCAGTCATAGTGTCTATGACTGGAGCACTTGGTGACGCGAGTTCGAATCTCAGAAGGGATATGAATTCCTCCAAGGTTGCAGAAACGCCTTGCTGACTGGTGAGTGCGAACTAGCACGAGACCTAAGTCCGAAGCTTCCTGCCGATTGCCTCCGACCATCTAATTTCTTACCTTCATATACACTGGCTAGTGCCGTATTTTTTAGTCAATAATTTTTTGCATCATCCTTGAATAACTCTGGATTCATGCCACCAGGTCCTTTTACTCCGCCTCCCTAGATTAAAGGTGGCTTTGAAAATCACGATTACACTTTAGAGGACCGATGTTCACATCCTGTTGAAATAGGCTTTGTACGATGCAAAATTAGTAGTGTGAGAGTAATGCAAAGTCGGAGTTCACCCTATTTTTCAATAAGGAGTGACAATGTTTCAGTAGGCTTTTCTATCGTTAATATGTAGATAGATAGTCTATTTGTGACCATCGTTAGCTTCGTGTAAGCGGCCACCACACGAGACAGGGTCTCTGCATATGACTAAAATGATTGCTAGCCAAAAAGAGATAGTTGTCTGAGCAGGATTCTTAAAGGCGATCATCGGTGTGGGATGCCGTAGAGTTTCCCAATAAGCTTTTTGAATTGATTGAACTTTTCTAATTGAGAGGTGGAATCTCCTCAATACACCTGTGTGTTTTGCTTTTAGCAGCAAAGGTAACAGCTTTTAATAGAATTCATCCTTTGCTTTATTCGAACTGTAGTCGATTCGTGCGTGAACACAGATTATGAAAATATTTTGACGGCTATGACAATGTTTCCTTATTCCTTCGGATATATTCCGCTGAGTAACAAACAGAAGAATTTCCACGAATCTGGTATGGTGATTGGCTACTCAGCAAAGGCGATGTGTACTTCGCACTCTGTCTTAGTTTACATTTTCTCAAAGTGAACACAAAAAAATAGTGGCTGGGTTTTGGTCTACTGTTGTTCATACTTCTATATTAATGTTGTGGTGAGAGCAGGCTGATAGCCAATCGGCAGACATTAATTTACGTCAATGTCTAGGTCACTAATATTGGCCGTGAGAAAATGTGAACAAGGCTGATTCAACAACCAATTACAGCAGGGTTAACATGGGCAAATAAGATTCTCAGATATATGACTTAACTTTCCGAGAAACAAGAAACAACCAATCAGAAAACTGTGTTTATCTGCTTGAATAAGCTATAATAATGTACATGAAATATATATATATATATATATATATATATATATATATACGTTCTGATTTCCGTAATAAAACGATCTGTTGCCGGCCCTTGTCTTCTGGTGTTACAATGTGTATACCCGTTCCTAGTTTCTCAGTTCCATTCATGAGCTTTTTCAATACAATAAAACATATGAAATTGATGTCATGGATTATTGGTTGTTATAGCTTTGTCAAGAATCTAATTGTAGGTCACTCGTTTAAACGTTAACCAATTTACGTGATTTAGTTTGATTCTAACAAACAGCAGGATGAGATATAAAATGTTTTGATTGTAAGTTGAGTATTTATTGGTGAATATAAGTCAATGATATGAATGGTATGGTTATCTTTGAGTTGCTTCAGATTTAACACTTGTGGGCGTGTTAAGGTAATCAACTAGTTTTCACTGTTTCCGTTTGCCTATACTTCAACATTTAAGATTCAGTCAGTTATTCTATACTTTGCTTAAGTACCACGTATATAAGTGTTCATTTTCTTTTTAAATTTTCCTGTTTTTTTCTTTTTCAAGTTGTCTGAGACACGAACTTTGGATAAAACATGGACTTTACTGCATTTCATCGTGGAAACAATTGAAACTCAATTTCCAGCCTTGATTACTTTTGATGATGAACTAAACAGTATTACAGAGGCTGCAAAGGGTAAGTAACTTTATTATTTATTGTCTTTTATAGTTCAAAGACTATTTTATAACCGTGTTTTATGTTTCACCTTCTAACTGTCTTAAATTCTCATATAACGTTGTTTAAAAACCTATTATAACAGTCTGTTTATGTTCATTCTCAGTGCGAATGTAGGTTTTTTTATCGATGTGTGTGTGTGTGTACGTTTTATGTTTTATTTCGCTTTCTCCCATGCAGTCCCTCCTCTGTTATTGCTTTGTGGTGGAAGCATCGTTCCTCCTCCATCATATTGAATAACACATTGCAATGTTAAGTGTAGTTGTTCTAACCAGTGAGTTTAATATTGAGAATTTAAGAATATTGTACTTCCTATCTGTCTTCATTAATGCCATCCTTTTGCTGCTGATATGTCTTAGCTTCTAGTATAGTGTAATCTAATTGTCTTAGTGGTGACTGTCGGATGCGAATTTCTCTGAATAGAATAGCTTATTTGCATCCCTCTTCTTTTCCACTGACTTCTTCCACTGTTTCATTTCAATCCTCTTTCATCTTTCGTGTTCTCTTTCGTTAATGTCTGCTGGTTTTTGTGAGTACATGTACATTTATCACTATCTACTTCACTTTAAGGGAAACCTGTTTTTTTTCCTTCACGTTCCCAGTGGAACATAAGGCTTCAAGCTAGAGACTTGAAGTTTCTGTAGCAGTGTTTATTTTTACTGGATGGGGTTGCTAACCTCATGCCCAACCTTTCCTCTTTACCAGCATTTTTTTCTGGTTTAGCGAGGTAAAGGAGTTCGTCGGCAGGCGATCGAACCTCGGACCATGTGCATGGTCGGCGAGCGGCCTAACCGCTGTGCCACCAACGCACTCAAGGGAAACCTGTCGGGCAATAATAATTCTATTATCGATTAAACCTCAGCTATCTTTCATGAGTAAGTAGAATGAGTTTACTGTACATTTCAAGCTAAAATATGTAGGTTAGGAGCGCCTGTATAACTGTGTAGGTTTCTTGAGCATTAGTTTTCTAGTCAGTAAAATAATCTATTTTTGCCAATTGATTCTAAAAGGATCGAGTAGCGAGACTATTTGAATTTGTTACACTAATAATAATAACTACTGTCGAATTAGCAATACCATGCCGTGTGTCACCAGTTTGCCCAAGCACCTAGCCAGGAATTAAATGATCGAAACTGACTGTGTTCTCTGAGCTGACTCAAATTAGGTACACCACTGTTAATAACCTTAAACCAAAAGTTAGTAAAAGCCATTGGATTTCTACTACCTCGTCCAAACTGATTGACACAGAAAGACTGATTTCGGTGAGTTCCGATCATGATGAAGAGCGAAAGCTACTCAAACGCAAAGTGAAACAATCTCTGAGAAAAATGGCTTCCAGGATAGACGACTGGAACGCTGGAAAGAACACTTTGAGGAGCGGTTTATTCGGCCTACAACCACGCTCAACATCCAGATACAGAACAGCAACAGAAGGCTCACTTGACATACCCCAACTTACTACACGTAATATCCGGATGGCTGTCGACCAAAGCACGTGTGTGCTACCCAAAAGTCCACTCCGTCCTCCTTTATGGCTGTGAGTAACACATAGTCATTGAAAGTGGAAGATATGATAAGGCTAGGCAGCTGTCTTTGATCATAGGTATCTGAGTTGATCTCCTATGTCAAGTGGAAGAATAGGGTGGGTAATATGAAGAATAGGCATCGATTGTTAAGTAAGGAGGGAGAGCGATCGATGAGGTTGTGAAGCTACATCTGTATTGAGATGTTTAGGAGATGTGTTACGTATGCCTCCTTATCCATCGCTTTTTACGTCGATGGTTGGCGTTATCTGACATAGGATGGATCAGGTTTGAAAAAAGCTAGTGGTTGGCGGTGGCTACACCGAAACATGACTTCATCAACCCATGAAATCCTTGAGAGTAAGTTTGAGGTATGTGGGGAGATGTAGGTTATCTGGTTGGGGTCTTTGAGATGGTAAGAACCAACACCTGGAGACAGTTGGTGATATGGCTCGAAGTTGTCCTCAATGAAGCAGATTCATTCAATCTTGGTGAATTATCATATACTATAAAACTCTATTGTTCTTCCATATTACTATTCTTTATCCCTCACACTGTTTATTATCTGTCCTTTGTATCTCTGTTTACTCTCAACTGTTGCTTTGTGTGCTACATGTATTGTAGCGACTCGAACTGCTGCACATCCGTGCAAGGTTCTACGTTAAAACTAGCTAGTCAACACTGATAAGCCTACTTTCCTTTCTTGAAAAAACGGCTGTCCACGGTTTCAGTGTCTGTGGTATTCAACTGCTTATATTATTCAGTCAGTAGTATATACCTTTATGCATTAATAAATGCTATCGTTTATTATTTGTGTATAACTAACGTCATTGAAACGCCCATTTAGCTTTGTTTTTTAAATTGCGAACAACTAATATTGTATACAATGTGAATTGAATTCATTCATTGTATTTCACGTGCTCTCTTAAACAACTATCAAATAGTATATACATATTTTGAATTAAGTACACAAAATGAAATGAATGAATTCAATTCATCCTATAATATTTGTTTGTTGTTCTTACTCTATAAAAGACCTTCAATTATTAGTAGTAGTTTAATGGTAAAATGAAAAGTAACGTTAGTTTAAAGGCAATATTTAGGGTGTACAGTTGTACAGTGTTGAACATGATTTTTCTCATTTTGTTTATTGTTGTATGTTAAGCATATTAAAAGCTTGTAACAACTGTTCAGTTGATTCTGTCAAATGTTAAATGTACAAAATAATATTATACATTAAGACAAAATATCAAGCGTACTTTAAAAAAATTGTTTTCTATCTTG